GGTTAAAGCACTTGTACAGTGTATGTGTGCTAGGCCACAGATCAGGCTTCTTTAGTTCAAGCTGAATCTGTTTTGAACCAGAATAGCTACCCCATATATCCAATATGTGAAAATCTCTTGTCAGAGTAAAATGTCTTGATGTCTGTAATTGACTTTAAAATACTTCAGCAAAAGCAAAGAAAAGAAAGCAAAGAAATACAGCAACAATATTAACAATTTGTAAACCTACATGGTGGGTATTATGGGTGTTCATTATACTAATTTCTCTACCTTTCTCTGTGTTTGAAACTTTTCTTACAAAAAAGACTAAAACAATGGAGGGAAAAAAAGTGAGATTGAATATACTAGAAGAAAAGGGATAATCAGAAGTGTAAGAGTACTGCAAAGATGGGGATAGATAGGATTTAAATCACAGGTGGAGGAATTGGCCAAAATGAGAGAAGAGTCAGCTCCTCTGTTATAATAGAAGGGAAGGAGGAGAATATGAGTCATCAGTTATGTTTGTGTAGTTTTGTGAAGCTAGTAGTGGAAAATTGAAAGAGTTCATGTCTGTTGACTTCTACTTTCTCTGTGATACAGAAGGCAAGGTCATCCGTTGTGAGAGGGGTTGTGAGAAGGTCAAAAGCTTGAAAAGAGTTCAAAGGAATTGAAATAGTTGATAGTAAGAGTAGAAGTGGTGAGTAAAGAGCTGCATAGGGTTGCCGGGTAGTTTTGAGGGCCCAGTTGAGATTGGTGATATGAATTGGTAGTAGAACTGTTGATACCAAACCTCTTAATCTCAAATTCATGTGCCTGATGCTCAGTAAGCCAATCATTGAGACACAGGTGCTTGGAGATAGAGAAAGGTTTATTCAAATTGGCCAAAAGGAGAAGGTGGGAGGATAGGTTCTCTCAAATCTGCCTTAACAAAAGAAGAAAGCAGGGGGTTTTATGGAGCTAAGGGGCTTGGGAGGAGGAGTTTCGGAGAAACAAAGGGGAAATCCTTGTTTCTTTCACTCCAGATAAGCCCTTGGACAATTAGACTTCTGGGCATCAACTGCAGGTGGGAGCTGGTTGTCTGGTGATGGTAACTTCCTTGAATGCATTCTTTTTCTTCTGCAAAACGAGCTCAAAAATCCTTGTGACCCTTGAGTCACTCCTCAGGTTAAACAAGAAAACAGGAAATTAACAAGATTAACTTCTTTTCATCTTTGTCTGTGTTGGGAACAAGGTCAAAGGGTAATCAGGTTCTTACTGAATATTTACAGTAACCCTCATACCCTGCCTCACTGATACGCAGTGTTGTTTGACTTCTTCAATCAATGTTTGGTTGCTTGAGTGCTGGCCAAAAGAAAGTAGGTAGTTGGGTTCATCCAAGGTTGTGATTTTTGTCTGTCGAGTGTGACAAAATAGAAGGGTAGGGGAACTAGGGTGCTGGCAAAATTGTTGATGAAGTGCTGGACCTGGAATCTAATCTGTATAAGAAGGGAAGTGCAACTTGCAACTAAAATTTCAACTTGCAGCTTATCCAAGTTCTGGAGATCTAATGCACAGTATAGTGATTATAGTCAACTGCACTGTATTATATATTTCAGAGTTGCTAAGAGACTAGATCTTAAATGTTCTCTCCACAAAAAAGAAATGGTAGTTTTGTGATGTGATTAGAGGTCTTAGCTGACTCCTTGGTGGTAATCATATTGCAATATATAAATGTGTCAAATCAACATATTGTACAACTTAACCTTACACGATAACTTACATAATATTATCTCAATAAAAAAAAAGGAGGTGCCACAAAGTCAGTATATTCCGCATTGGATTCCTCATCTTTCTTATGAACCTTCTCTTGTCAATGACTATAAAGGGTCCGGGATTTTACCTAATTACAAACCAATAAATTAGTCTGTTATTGTTTCATGGATGCTGGCAGAAAACATGAAACTGCTTGGTCAGAGACCAAGTACTTTGTTACTCCCAGCACAGCAAGTAGCATGGCCTTAACGTTTGTGTTGATGCCTCTTGCTCCTCAGTTCCCATGGGGGTGACACAGGTGGGTCTGGATGGATGCCGCACATGCATTGAGTTTGCGTCACAGCCCAGAAACACTGAGCTTGGGGAAGTTACCATTTTTATAGTAAGTGGAACCCATTCTGCTCTTTGTCTTGGGGGGAGACCTTGTCTCATTCCTCAGGGTTGCTTGCTCCAAGTACAGCCCTGAAAAATGGCCCAGGTAAAAGGGACTAGGGCCTTGTATTCTAGGCACACCCAGCTAAAATATGCAGGGACGATCAGGGCGTATGGCATATCCCAACAGTTCCCCATCCACAGAGTGGTGGCGATGGGGAAACTGCTTTTTCTTGGCTTGCCATTTCTATTCATGGTACTGTTACCGAACCAAGTGGGCTTGCCTCCTGGTGAGTTAAATAAGACTCTACACCAGTGGAAATTGTCTCACAAAGTAAAGTATATTTGCAGCAAATAGGAGGCCATGCGGAATCATTTCCAAAGTCATGGCATGGCGTCCCAAACAAAGGGAAAGAGGAACTTTTATTTGGTTGGGGAATGAATATTCAAAAGGGAGAGGGAGTACGCTGCAGATTATGGTAATGAGGCTTAATCTTCTCTTGAAGAGATCTTCGCATTAAACATAAGGCAAGGTCATGGGCACAGCTCTTGTAGGGAGGCTTGGTTAGCTTCAGGGTGGCTACTGGTTGTCTCCTTAACATAACAACAGTTAAATGCTTCCAAACCCACCTTTGAGTTCTTCGGGGCACTAGTTGGTGACAGTACCTCCATCCTTTTGGACCCAGGCTGGAAAATCTCATTCATTTGGTACAGATCGTAGTCTATTCTGAGTAACTCTTGCTAGCTGCAGATAAGCTGCGCTTTAGAAGTTCACTTGTATGTGGATGGCTTTTGGGGTGGAAAGGCAGTAGACGGGTGGGTAAGAGGTGGTTTTTGAATGCCCTAAAATTTCTGAGGTCCCTTAGGGCCCCTTGATAACTCCTTTTTAGTACATTAGCAACTCAGTGGGAGAGACTTACACCAGTCCTGCTTGTCCAGGATTTTTTAGAACCCTGAAAATGAAACGGCATCAAAACCAATCAGAGTTTCTAGGATTTGGGGGCCAGAGATATCTTGGGTATGGTCTAGCAAAGGCAATTAGGGCTGTAAATTTAAAAAACCTGCATGCTGCTTATCTTCAGTTAGGCAGAATGATATTCCAGATTGGTTATAATCTAACCGGTCTGGTACTCTCTGAGGAACATATTAAATTTTTAAACAGAACTTTATCAAGAAATGGTTAGTACTTATGAAGAAAATTTGCTGACAATTTAGATAAATGGAGAGATATACCACAGTAGTAAATTGGAAATGGAATATTAGAATAATGTCAGTTCTTCTCAAACTGCTTTATAGTTTAATGCCATTCCAGTCAATCCCAATAGATTTATTTTTTAATTTGACAAAGTAAATGTAAAGTTAACCCTAAAAGAATAATAGATATTTGTACTATAGTTGAAGTGAATGCAGGATAGACTCCAGAGACAACTTCCCTCTTCTGGGGATTTGGAGTTGGGATAGACATTTTGGGCTCCCGTCTTGACCTGAGGAGATGTAAACTGGGTCTCGTGCTTGAAAAAGCAGAGAAAGTTACTCTGTAGAAAGAGGAAAAACAAGGATATGAAGAGAAAAACAGGGCAGGTAGGGAAAGAATATTACCAGTTTTCAGCCTCTGGCTTCCTCCTGAGGTAGTAATATTCCTACATTTTGTTTCTGTGATTCATCCTAAATCCTTAGAACAAAATTTCCTTTATTTCTTAAGCTATTTCAGGTTAGTTTATTTACTGGAGAAGAAAGTGTCTGAGGTGCTAGGTAGGGATATAGCAAAGATTAGAGCAAGCAAAGTCCCTGCCTTAGGGAGCTTACATTCTCCAGGAGGACGCAGACAACAAATAAGCAGATAACATGCTAGATGGTGTTGAGTCCTATGGTGACCTTACAGAGACAGGGTCCGGGTCCTAAGTTGGGTGCATATGTGCTATCAGCAAAGGTCCCTCTGAGGAGGTAACATTTGAGCAGAAGTAAGGAAGCAAGTGATGAAAATATTAGGGGTAAGAGCATTTCAGGCAGAGGGAAGAGCAAATGTAAAGACACTGAGGTTGGAACCTACTTAGTGTGTTCAAGGTACATCAAGAAAGCTTCTCAGTGGCTGGAGCAGAGTGGTGGATGAGGAGGTCAGAGGGAGGTGTGGGTGAGATTGTGTAGGGCTCTGTAGGTCAAGGTAAAGTTAGGCTTTCCTCTGAGTGGAGTGGAAAACCCTTGAAGGATTTAAAGCAGAAGAGTGTCTTGTGTTTTAAAAGGATCGCTACTTGCTATTTTTAGAATGGACTGGAGAGTGGTCAGGGGCAGTAGAAAGGAGACCAGGTGAGAGATGATGGCTTGGACTGAGGTAGTCAAAGTGGAGGTAATCGAAGTTGGTCAAATCCTGGTTATTTTTTTGAAGAAATAACTGACATGCTTTGCTGATGGGTTGGGTGCAGAGTATGAAAGAAACAGAGAAGTTAAGATGACTTCTAGGTTTTTGGTTTAAATAGTTGGAAGGATGGAATTGCCATTTACTGAGATTGGGAAGACCTGGGGGGTGGGGCAGGGTTCAGTTTTGAAGTATTAAGTTTGAGGTGCCTATTGGACATCTAAGTGGGGATGTCTGTTGGTGCCCTCTGACCTGTCGTAAAGTATTTCTCACTGGGCTCCATTCGAGTACTAATTCTCTATAATTTAGTCTTGAATACTACAACTCAAGATTTCTCTTCCTCCTCTGATCACATTCCTCCATGAAATCCTTTAGTAAATAACCTAGATCTATATTTACTAATCAATTTTAAGTTCCAGTGATAATTGACTATCATTGGAGTTTCAGAAGGACCAAAAAGAAGTTATACGTCAATATTTTAAAAGTAGATTAATATGTAAATGGAGAACTGAATCAGTCTCTCTCTTTATTTTTTAATAGTTGCTTTCACTTATTAACTTCTGAGGTAAAAAAATTGAAAGAATGAGTGAACTGGAACAATTGAGGCAGGAAGCTGAACAACTGCGGAATCAGATCCAGGTAAGAGCAAATGTTTTCATTTTGAAATTTTAACACTTTTATTTGGTACCAGCAATGAACAAAAATCTGTTCCCTAGTTCACCAGTCTCCATATATTAAATAATGTATAAGGCTAGAAATGGTCAGTTTGTTTTTATCATACCTCTAAAGAACTCTCCAGAAATCATTCCTAATAAATACCTGTGTGTACTAATGGCCTCTGTGTCCCTAAGAAGTTAATTTTATATATGTAATCCTTTCTGAAAGACAAACATAATTCTCTTCTTATTCACACACCTGGAATTGTAGTTTGATTTTTGGTGCAATACGATGAGGCAGATAATATCACTTTGTAATGTATTAGAAAAATATTAATCTCTAAAACATTAGATTGCAGAAAAACATTAAAAATTATTAGTGGCATAATAACGACATGTCTATCATCTTTTATTCTTGGAAATCAACTCAAAAGCGTAAAGGCCATAAGAAACAAATACAAGCTCCATCTTTAACAAAATTAAAAGACACTTAGAACTTCAAACCATAATAGGTTGGGGAAGAGTTGTCAACTGTAGTGATGCATCAGAGTGTGGGAAGGCTTGAGAGAGGGTTTCTGCAGCTTTAAGTCTCATACAAAGTAGGTCACACTCCTTCAGGGACCACAATAAGAATCCTTTCTTTGGAACAGTGCAAACAGATGCTTCCCTGAACTGAGGAATATCAAGGAAGGCAGAGATAAAAATGAAAGGATATATACATGCCATCTTTTAGGAAGCCTCTTGGTGAGCAGGTTGGAGGAAGGAGACTGAATTGTGTGTATCCTGGTGCTGCCTACTTCTTTTCGCAGGGAAAAGTAAGGGCTAAAACCGCTTACAAATATAAATGAAGAACTTCAGCACAAAGCAGGGAGAATCCCTAATAACTAGGAACACTGCTTTGGCCCTCCCCAATATGAACTTTTTGCAATACCTGTTTCAGAAGAACTCATCTAACTTAAAAGTGAAGAAGAAACATAGGATCTACACAAGGATATTGCAAGAAAAGAGAGGAGAGTAGAAGGAAAAACAAGGGATGGGTGAAGAAATTCACCAGAAAAATGTTGATTCTGAGCGGGTTAAAATCATAACCAGTGTTATGGCCAGAAATTCCAGGAAGTTAATGATTTAGATGTGAATAAGAACTCTGAGTTGATACCTTGGGTGTCTGAACAAAGCTGTCAAAACAAAGGTAGGATTTATTTTGCGTGGGATGATCAGAGGCGGCTTCGTAGGTTTATCTCGGAGTTTGATGTTGCTGCCACCACCAGAACAGATTCTCCACCATCTCTGCTTTGTGTCACTTGTTGCCGATGCTGAGCAGGACCGACTGACTGGCCAAGCACATGGTCACATGCCCATCTCTTTTTTGTTTTCAGTTGGTTATGTGTAACCATGAGCTTGGTGGGTTTTTTTTTAGATTCCACGTATAAGTGAGATCATGTGGTATTTGTCTTTCTCTGTCTGACTTATTTCACTTTGCGCAATGTCCTCAAGGTCCTTCCATGCTTTTGCAAATGTCAAGATTTCATTCTTTTTTATAGCGGGACAATATTTCATTGTATATGTATACCACATTTTCTTTATTCATTCATCTGTCAGTGGACACTGAGATTGTTTCTGTATCTTGGCTATTGTAAATAATGCTCCATGAACATGAGGGTGCTGATATCTTTTCAAGTTAGTATTTTCGTTTTCTTCAGATAAATACCCAGAAGTGGAGTTGCTAGATCATATGGTAGTTCTATTTTTAATTTTTTGAGGAAGCTGTATAATGTTTTCTGTGGTGGCTGCACCAGTTTACATTCCCACCAACAGTACACAAGGGTTCTCTTTTCTCCACATCTTCCCAACACTTATCTCTTGTCTTTTTGATAATAGGCATTCTAGCAGGTGTGAGGTGATATCTCAGTGTGGTTTTGATTTGCATTTCTCTGATGATTAGTGATGTCGAGGATCTTTTCACGTACCTTTCGTCCATCTGTATGTCTTTGGAAAAATGTTCAGATCCTATGCCCATTTTAAAATTGAATTGTTTGGGTTTTTTTTTTTTTTGCTGTTGAGTTGTATGAGTTGTTTATATATTTTGGATATTAACCCTTTATCAGATATATGATTTGCAAATATTTTCTCCCGTTCAGCAGGTTGCTTTTTCATTTGGTTGATGGTTTCCTTTGCTGTGCAGAAGCTTTTTGGTTTGATGTAGTCCCACTTATTTATTTTTGCTTTCCTGTCTTTGCTTTTGGTGTCAAATCCAAAATACCATTGCCAAGACCGATGTCAGGGAGCTTACCGCCTGTGTTTTCTTCTAGGAGTTCTATGGTTTCAGGTCTTATATTCATGTCTTTAATCCATTTTGAGTTAATTTTTGTGTGTGGTGTAAGATAGTGGTCCCGTTTCATTCTTTTGCATGTGGCTGTCCAGTTTTCCCAGCACCATTTATTGAAGATACTGTCCTTTCCCCATTGTGTATTGTTGGCTCCTTTGTTGTAAGTTAATTGACCATATATGCATGGGTTTATTTCTGGTCTCTCTATTCTGTTCCATTGATCTGTGTGTCTGTTTTTATGCCAACACCATACTGTTTTGATTACTTTAGCTTTGTAATATAGTTTGAAATCAGGAAGTGTGATGCCTCCAGCTTTGTTCTTCTTTCTCAAGATTGCTTTGACTATTCAGGGTCTTTTGTGGTTCCATATACATTTTAGGATTGTTCTGTTTCTGTGAAAAATGCCATTGGAGTTTTGATAGAGATTGCATTGAATCTGTAGATTGCTTTGGGTAGTATGGATAGTTTGACAATATTAAATCTTCCAAACCATGAGCATGGAATATCTTTTCATTTATTTGTGTCATCTTCAGTTTCTTTCATCAGTGTCTTATAGTTTTCAGCATACAGGTCTTTTACCTACTTGGTTAAATTTTTTCCTAGGTATTTTATTCTTTTTGATTGTTTTCTTAATTTCTCTTTCTGATAGTTCTTTATTAGTGTATGGAAATGCAACAAATTTCTGTATATTGATTTTGTATCCTGCAACTTTACTGAATTCATTTATTAGTTCTAATAGTTTTTTGGTGGAATCTTGAGGGTTTTCTATATATATATAGTATCATGTCATCTGCAAATAGTGATAGTTTTACTTCTTCCTTTCTAATTTAGATGCCTTTTACTTCCTTTTCTTCCCTAATTGCTCTGGCTAGGACTTCCAATACTATGTTGAATCAAGATGGTGAGAGTGGGCATCCTTGTCTTGTTCCTGATCTTGTTCCAGAGGAAAAGTTTTCAGCTTTTCAACATTGAGTGTGATGTTAGCTTGTGGGCTGTATGGCCTTTATTACATTGAGATACGTTCCTCATATACCCACTTTGTTGACAGTTTTTATCATAAATGGATGTTGAATTTTGTAAAATCCTTTTTCTGCATATGTCAGTGATGATGATATGATTTTTATCCTTCATTTTGTTAATGTGGTGTGTCATATTGATTGATTTTCAGATGTTGGACCATCCTTGCGTCCCTGGAATAAATCCCACTTGATCATGGTATATGATCCTTTTAATGTAGTGTCAAATTTGGTTTGCTAATATTTTGTTGAGGATTTTTGCATCTATGTTCATCAGGGATATTGGCCTTTAATTTTCTTTTCTTGTGGTGTCCTTTTCTGGAATGCTTGGTCAAGCACATGGTCGCATGCTGATCTCATTTAATCCTCATTGCACCCCTGTGAAGTAGATGGTGTTTCTTATTTTACAGTTGAGGAAACTGAGCCTCAGTGAGATTAATAACTTGCCAAGGTAACATAACTACTAAGTGGTAGACCCAGGATTCAGACCAGGTATATTTTGTTTGCAGAGGCTGTGCTCTAGCACCACTCTGGCACTGCTCCCAGCTGTGTTTGCTAATATCTTGCTCTGCAGCCTGTGTGGTAGCCATATGAGTCTGAGTCTGGTTGCCATTCCCTGAACGTTCGTTGCTCTTTCCCACTTCATTCCCTTTTTTCAAATTGTTTCCTTTGCCTGGAATTACACTGCTTCTGTTCCAATTTTGTTCCTGGGACACCTGTTCATTGAGACCTAGTCCTCCTCTAAAAAAGCCTCACCAGAATCCTCCACTTGGATATATTCTCTTTCTTTGATTGGAAGGCAGCATGGCATGGTGGAAAGTGCATGGACTCCACCTTTTAATTGTTTTGAGGTGATGGGCAAGGTTTTAACTTTTTCGATGCTCAATATCTTTGCTGTAAAGTGAGAATACCAATGCCCACTATATAGATTAGTGTACAGGATTAAGCTGAATGACCCGTAAAAGGATTAGGCCAACCCAGTAAGTGGCAGTTCCTTACTCATATAGACTTTGCACTTGTGTTACAGGGTGATCCCAGCCTGCCTTGTGTTATAGTTCCATGCGCACATTTGCCTCTACTCTTGCGCTTGGATGGAAAATTCTGTGTCTTAATCATTCTCATATCTCACCAGCGTCCTGAGCACAATGTCATGGGCACAGGTGCTCAATGAATCATCTCCCGTGATTTCAAGTTACCACATGTGTGTAAAATACCATGTGCTTTTTTTCTCAGTGTAATCATGTCATGCTATATTTAAAGACCCTCCCTTCCTTCTTTCCTTCCTCCTCACTTCCAGAAATATAATCTAACTATATATTTCCCTAACTGTGGTATAAACACGTGACATAATAGAAATGTATGCTATTTGGTGTAATATATGGTTTATTTTAAATTCAAAACAGAAATAGAGAAAACAGATTTTTTTGTAATTGATACTGGTTTGATTTGGACTGAGAAATATGTCACTTTTCTCTTATTTTGCACAAAGATGTTAATATCAGGTCTTGTATTTCTTATGGTGGACAATATGGAATTCAGCCTTTAATTGGGACTAATGCATTTGTCTTCAGTTTTATAATGGATAGTAGCATTCATAAGAGCAAATTCTTTTCAATGTGAATAGAATCTTTGCATAATGTCAATTTGTAGGTAACTGCTGCTAAGATATTTGTAGAATTCTTATATTCCAACATGATGTTTTAATTTTTACTACTGATTTGCACTATAGTTCATTAATTTTCTCTTGCATTTAAAAATTGTATTATTAATATATAATTACAATTATTAATATAAAGTAAGCCCCATGAAGGCAGGGATTTATTATTTGTCCACCGCTATATCCATGGTGCCAAGAATAGTGCCTGACAGATAGTGTTCAACAGACTTTTCATCAGATGACTGAATCAAAAAAGATGACCTAAATAATGATAGTTCATTTTCATAAAGCTTAAAATCAGAGAACCTTTTTTTAGAATTTAGTCTTCAACTCCACCATTTTTGGAGCATGGCTCAGGCCATCACTGTCGTTTCTGGAAATTCTTTTCATTGTAGGAAAGTGGGCTAAATTATTCCTTCCCAAATGAGGTTTCTAGACCCACAATTTGACTGAGAATGAGAGGATCAAATCATATGTTTGTGCAACTACTTATGAACACCCTTACACAGAAATATTCTAAGTGTTTATAAATAGGTTGAAAGGGCAGCCAGAAAGATCATGTTTTCCACCCAGTCTTAGCTGCAAGCAGAGGCAGGGATTTTTCCCTTGCCTGACTGGATCAGGTTGCCCATTTGGGACATTTATTCAACAAATATTGTGTGCCTCCTCTTTGCTAAGCACAGGAGGGAAAAACAAAGTTGAAGAAGATACCACCCTAACCTTGAGGGGAAAAAATTTTGTTTTAAGTCTAGTAGGCATAATGAATTGCACTTCTGATTTTCCCATGTATATGAATCCTCTAAATTTAACTTGGTTTTAAACATTTTGTTGCTTATTAAATTGTTCTTTGCTTGCCTTTACATATTTTGTTAATTGATTTCTGTTTCACTGTCTTCCTTCTGATAAGTTCCCTTTGGTTTGTATAAAAATCTGAGATCTCTTTGAAAGGCTACCTTATAATGCCTAGGCATAAATATCAGCTTACATGTATGGGATTTGCTGTTAATATAAAAATATAGATGGCTTTCAGTATAAATTGTTGCCTGTTATGTAAAACATTATTTTCCTGAGATATCATATCCTTCTCTCATTGGATAAAAAATATTTTATTTCTAATAGCAACTGTATACAGCATATTTGCAGAGCATTTAGAGAAGTGTTATGGTTTTTTTTTAATGTTTATGAAATCACTGGAGTATACTATAAATATCCTTCTTATCCCCTCAACTTCTGGATGCCAGAACAAACAGAAGGGAACTCAGAACTCTTGCTTTCTGCTGAAACATAGTAACAAATATAACTCTGAATACTATGGGCTTATTAAATCAACCTAGTTCATTTTTACTCAGGGGATACAATTTTTTTGAAAAAATCTTTTAATCATAAACCAAAAGTATATTTCCACAATGGAATAGAATTGAGAGTTCGTAAATAAAGCCATACATCTATGGTCAACTGGTTTTCGACAAGGGTAGCAAGAGCACTCAATAGGGAAAGAATAGTCTTTTCAACAAATAGTGCTGGGACAACTGGACATCCGCATGCAGAAGAATGAATCTGGACTCCCACCTCACACCATATACAAAAATTAACTCAAAATGGGACAGCTTCAAGTATAAAATTCTTGGAAGTAAACATAGTTGCTAATCTTTGTGACCTTGGATTAGGCAACAGTTAAATACGACACTAAAAGCGCAAGCAACAAAAGAAAAACTACATAACTTGGATTTCATCACAATTAAAAACTTACATGTCAAAGGACAATGTAAAGAAAATGAAGAGGTAACCTACAGAATGAGAGCAAGTATTTGCAAATCATGCATCTTATAAGGGTCTGGTATCCAAAATATATAAAATACTCTTACAACCCAACAATGAGAAAGATAAGCCAATTTAAAAATTGGCAAAGGATTTGAATAGACATTTCTCCAAAGAAGATATACAAATGGTCAAAAGGCACATGAAAAGATGCTCAATCATTAGGGCAATGCAAATCAAAACCACAATGAGATACTACTTTACACTTACTAAGATGGCTGTAAAAAAAAACCACACACACACGCAGAACAGGACAATAACAGTGTTTGTGAGGATGTGAAGGAATTGGAAGCCTCATACATTGTTGATGGGAATGTAAAATGGTGCAGCTGCTGTGAAAAACAATTAGACAGTTTTTTTAAAAAAAACATAGAGTTACCATGTCACCCACCAATTCCACTCCTGGGTATGTGCCCAGAAGAACTGAAAACATACGTATATGCAAAAACTTGCACATGAGCGTTCACAGCATCATTATTCTTAAAGGCAAAAAGTGCAAAGAACTTAAATGTACATCAGTTGCTTAACGAATAAACAAAATGTGGTATATTCATACAACGGAATATTAGCCTTAAAAAAAAAATGAAGTGCTGATACATGCTACAACATGGATGAACCTTGAAAACATTATGCTAAGTGAAAGAAGCCAGATACAAAAGGTCATATATTTTATGATTCCATTTATATGAAATGCCCAGAAAAGGCAAATCCATAGAGATAGAAATAAATTAGTGATTGCCAGGGAATGGAGGAAGAGGGAATTGGAAGGTATGGGGTTTCTTTTTTTGGCGTGTTGGAAATGTCCTAGAATTAGATAGTGATGATGATTGCAAAACATTGTGAATATGCTAACCACTGAATTATACCCCTTAAAATGATTATAATGGTTAATTTTATGTTATCCGAATTTTATCTCAAAAATTTTTTAAAATAAAAGATTATGTGGTACAGTAAAAGTACATTTGCAAATCTACATTTTCAATAAAAATATTTTTAATCATATCTAGAGGTTCTAGAGGTTTCTATGTTCAATTGTATTATAATCATCTTTCTTTACTTCAGGATGCTAGAAAAGCGTGTAATGATGCAACACTTGTTCAGGTAAAGTTTTTTTTTTGCCTTCAATTCATTTTAATAATTCACATGAAACAACTGTACACTGATGCAAATGACATTCAGATTCTTTTTTTGTGTGTGTGTGAGGAAGATCAGCCCTCTGCTAACATCTGCCATCCTCCTCTTTTTTTGCTGAGGAAGACTGGCCCTGGGCTAACATCCATGCCCATCTTCCTCCACTTTATATGGGACACCGCCACAGCATGGCTTGCCAAGTGGTGCATCCGTGTGCGCTCGGGATCCGAACCGGTGAGCCCGGGGCCGCCGCAGCGGAACTCCTGCACTTAACCACTTGCGCCACGGGGCCGGCCCCTCAGATTCTTTTCATTAGTATTTAATGGAAAAAATCTCTATTTAAAAACACTTTGTAATTTGTCAGATGCTGTACAAGTGTTTTTTAAAGCATACTTGTTAAAATAGAAGTCTGTGGAAAAATAAGTACTATAAAAATATATAGATTCTTATATGTTTCTTTTTGATACGTTTCTGATTCCTTTTTTTTTTTTTTTCTTGGTGAGGAAGATCAGCCCTGAGCTAACATCTGATGCCAATCCTCCTCCTTTTGCTGAGGAAGATTGGCCCTGAGCTAACATCCATGCCCATCTTCCTCCACTTTATATGGGACGCCGCCACAGCATGGCTTGACAAGCAGTGCGTCAGTGTGCACCCTGGATCCGAACTGGCGAACCCTCCCGGGCCCGCCACGGTGGATCGCGCGCACTTAACCACTTGTGCCACTGGACTGGCCCCCTGATTCCTTTTTGATTCTTATGGTTAAGCTTTTCTTTTGCTGATATAAACTCTTAGGAAGTTTCAGTAGTTTAATTAATATTGATAATTTTTATTAAGGAAATATTTTATGTGCTGTACAAATATAAAACTGGCTTTCTTATAAGACAGTTAAAATTATAAATATTTTACTCTTTGATCACCTACTATTAGATTTTAATTTGTGGCTGGTTTTTTTACTAGAGTTGGGAGGTATATCTATTCTTTTTAGTTCATAGTCTACGGAAGATATTCTCACTGGAAGGTGTGCAAATAGGATCGTTTAAAATTAATCATACTTTTTCTTGAACAATATATTGATCCTATAACAACTCTGTGGAGTTATTTATATTACTTTCAATCATTATAAATTTGTTTTACGTCTGCTTTTTTGCCTGTTGTTTGTACTTCAAGTTATTTTCTGAGCTATGTCCAGGGTAAAGAATAACATTCTTGTCGCTTTCTAAAGATCACATCAAATATGGATTCCGTGGGCCGAATACAAATGCGAACGAGACGTACACTGAGGGGTCACCTAGCCAAAATCTATGCCATGCACTGGGGATATGATTCAAGGTTTGTACCTGCCATTTTCAAACTATCAGCAGAATTATTTTCATTAAGAATCATCATTTGCATTTTCTCTTTTTAAAAACAAACTATATTTATGAAGTGTTTGCGGAAAATACATTCAGTATGAACACTCTGCTTTCACTAAAAATATTCATTGCCGCTTGAAAAGTTTAGAAACCTGTAATGTGGAAAATAAATTTACCTTTCAAAAATATCGTTGATCAAAATGATCCAGGAAAACGGTTTAGGATTTCTTTTCTTTGCAGTGGGGTATTACGTTTTTTTTTAATATGCCAAAACCAGTTTTATTGGATATTAACCTTGAAATTTCAGTTAATAGACAAATATCTGTTGAATATTGCTATGTACAGGACTGGATGTTGCAATAATTACTTGTTACCTAAATTCACAAAGGATGGAATTACATAAAACAAAGACATTTTCATTGAATACATCTTTTATTTCCCTAACCCAACATATAAATGTGTGTTTATGCATGTGTACACACACACACACACACACACACACACACACACACACACACACGGCTGCCATCTGGCTTGCAGTTGGATGGTTGGTCATCACAATTTACTTTGTTCATAGGGTTATAGTGTGGTCGGTGCTTTTTCCAGGGTATCTGGCAATAACAGGTTGGCCTGCTGCCATGGTGGTTGACTTGTTTCTTTGATTTGGTTAATCTTATTAGGAGCAGTCCCGACTAGGAAATTATTTTTTAATAGAAGTTGCACATTTATTCTCCTCTTCATGGAGAAACTAAAAATGTTGCTGCTTTTTGGTATTGCCTGGTACGTCTCGATGTGAATGAGATAATTGAGTACAGTAATACAGAACATGTGCCTGTTAGGAGGGGATAAATAAAATTATATAATTGACAGCTGACATCAAGCCAGGCCAAATATTTTATTATTTTTCTTTTTTTTTCATTTTATTTATTTTATTTTATTTTATTTTTTTGTGAGGAAGATCAGCCCTGAGCCCAATGCCAATCCTCCTCTTATTTTTTTTTTTTTTTTTTTTGCTAAGGAAGATTAGCCCTGGGCTGACATCCGTGCCCATCTTCCTCTACTTTATATGGGACACCACCACAGCATGGCCTGACAGGCAGTGCATCGGTGCATGCCTGGGATCTGAACCTGCGAACCCCAGGCCGCAGAGGCGGAGTGCACGCACTTAACTGCTGCGCCACCGGGCTGGCCCCGATTCTTTTTCTTAAAGAAAAAGAATTTTTATCATAAGATAAATTGCCCACTGATACAGCAAACTTTTAATTCAAAATACAATCACTTGAAACAGTGTTAATGGTTCTTACTTTCCTTAAAATTTTCTTAAGACTATTAACCTTCATAGAAAAACACAAGTATCACCAAAGAACCTGTCTCACGTTGTCTTCCCTACCCGTTCTCATTATCAGCTCATTACTTAATGTTCTTCTCAACTCAATGCTGATGATGCCAATTGATTTTTAAGGAATTTACTTTAGGTTCCATCCCTTACTCTACTGTTAGATCTTCCCTTTTGTAAAAACTTTGAACGATTGCTATATAAGAATTTGATCATGTTATTTACTGATAGGGAAGGCTGCTGGGTGGCTGGGTGATCAGGACAGGAAGGTGATTTTTTTTCACTGTATATCCTTTTGTATCTTTTGAATTTTATACCATAGTGAAAAATAAAATTCCAAAACAAAAGATTCAGTGACTAATCATTACTTAGTCCAGAGTTCATCTTTAGCCTAGCAAACAAACCTTTCTGCACTTGAAGCCCAGTCTGCTTTTCTCAACTATTTTTCCCATTTCTCACAAACTCTCTACAACTTGAAAATTCACAATTCCTGAAACACCCACTGTGTTTTTCCACCTTTTGTCATTGAATATACTTACCCTCCTCATAGAATACAGACTTCTCTATCTTTAGCTCTCAAAATTCCATTTTTCAAGATGCATTCTCTTTTGCAAGACTGATTAACTCAACTAACAATTTGTCCCTTTTTTACTTTCCTCTGGCATTTATTTTATACCACTCCTCTGACAGTTTCACTTACTTGATTTATTATAAATATGTGCAGATATCTTATCTCCACCAGATGGTCAAGGCCTCAAGGGCAGGAGGTATATCCTGCGTTGTACACATAACACTGCCTTGCATTCACAGCTCTCAATTGATATTTTTAGGTTGAATAAAATGTGGTTGTTAGGCTTATATATACTCCCTTGTCATTAAATTTAAGTCAATAAATACCAGAGCAGTCAGCTGATATCTGCCAGAACCTTGTAAGACCTAGAATGTTGTCACCATGAAAAAGTTGAATCATAACCAGAGACATTTTTAGTAAAATGTTTAAATTTTGCTAAATTCTGCATTATGTTGAAAATTTTTGGCATGCAGATTAAATTTTTTTAAAGGTGGGAGAGTATTTTCTGGTATCAAGTTTTTAATTAGAAAAATTGTGTTTTTCTTTTCTGAACTGTTCTACCTTAATGCAATGTGTAACTAATTTAAACTACTTTTTTCCTCCAAGTGTCAAATTATTTTTGTGTTTGTTCCTCTAGGCTACTAGTCAGTGCTTCCCAAGATGGAAAATTAATTATTTGGGATAGCTATACAACAAATAAGGTAGAATTTCTTAATCATTCTCTTAAATAACCTTTTATTTGATTTGATGTCCACCAATTCTTTCCCTTATGCTATTACTTCAAACTTTCATTTTCTTCTAAGATAAATTTATTCCATTTATTTTAATGTAGATCCTCTCTTTAGGTTTAGTGTTTGCTTTTAATATTTAGCCCTTTTTTATTCCCAAGGACAGCTGCAGGAATGTTGTTCAGTGTGGTTTTACTTGAGTGTCATATTTCGTATTTCAATATTAGGAAAGAGTGTGCATCAGTTTTACGTATAAATGATTTTTTTTTTTTAATTCCCATTTCCTAATGTGACAGTGACCCTGAGGTTTTTATTTCTAGTTGTGGGGAAGCTAGAATGGTATTGTGAAGCTGTTCTTTGGTCCACTATAGGCATTGATTTGTGTTTCTGGACTGCTCAGAAGAGACAGTAGATTGGAGGCAAATTGCAGCTTGTTTAGATCTGTCGGTGGTAAAAGCCAGCAAGCAAGTCCTCTTAATATGTCCACTGGAAGCAGTCCCTGATGTAAAGGTGTTGAGTGGTAGTAGAAAAGCTTCAGGAGAACTTTCACAAGTCAGATACCTTTAGATTCTGTGTATACTTATATCACTATTTTTTTATTTTTTATTTTTTGAGAGAGAGAGGGAGAGAGTGTTTTAAAGCTTCGGTACATGGTTGTATATCCTAGATGTTGGTTTTTAGTTTCCTACGCGAGCCACTGCCACAGCATGACAACTGACAGATGGGTGGCGTGGTTCCACACCTGGGAAATGAATCCGGGCTGCGGCGTAGACCACCGGGGCTGGCTCTCACTGCTTTTGTTAAAGACTTAAAAACACTACTTTGTGCAGTAGACAATAACTTCATCTTGGTTGAGATTTTAAAGCTAACTAAGACAGATTTGTAACTTAACAATTTCTTTCTATTAATTGGCATTGAGCATATGTCTTTCAACTATATTTTCCTATAACAAAATTGCATTTTAAAAATATTATTTTAGATTAAGTGAGAGCGCAGTAGTAATGTGTTGATTCTCTGTATGGACCATTTAGCCTCACCATTCCCATACACCTTAAATTTTGCCACCTGACCTGCAAATGATTGGTGTGGGGTAGCAGGGCACCAGACAGTGGTATGAATAGATCACTGTGAACTATTACCATTGTTTGAATTCGAGCCCAGAGTATGTGCCCTGTTATTAGAAGGAGGTAGTGCCATCTCTTCATGGAAAAACCAATTTAATCAACTCAGGTACTTGTATTGTTCGTGTTATGTTGGAGGAAATTCCTCTTTTGAGCACTACTGCCAAAGCAAAGAGTTTTATTAAATTCTTTATAACATTTTACACTTAATATTTCAAATGGCTATATTAGCATTGAAATGTCCTCCGTCCTTGCTTCCCTAAACAGAATAATTTCTGAAAAGAGCACTTAAATCTGAATGATTTGATACTATACAAAAAATAATAGGCATTTTAGTGTGCATTAGTATTTTATTTTTCATTGTTCACTTTCTCAAACCATTACATTCTTTATTTTATTTGGCTTATTAGTTTTTTTATTTTTTTGTGAGGAAGATTATCCCTGAGCTAACATCTGGGCCCATCTTCCTCTATTTTATATGTGGGACGCCTGCCACAGCGTGGCTTGATAAGCAGTATGCAGGCCTGTGCCCAGGATCCGAACCCACGAACCCCGGGCTGCCAAAGTGGAGCATGTGAACTCAACCACTATGCCACCAGGGGAGCCTCTGCCTTATTTTTTTTAGATGCATTTGATTTTTAGTAATATTTGCTTCATTGTAAATAGATTTGAAAAATTAATGACTTTTTGTAAGCTTTGCTTGGTAATAGTTTTTGTGCATTGTATTTGTTCTACAGATGCATGCTATTCCTTTGCGGTCCTCCTGGGTGATGACCTGTGCTTATGCTCCTTCTGGTAATTACGTTGCTTGTGGAGGACTGGACAACATCTGCTCCATATATAACTTAAAAACCAGAGAAGGAAATGTGAGAGTGAGCCGAGAGTTACCAGGTCACACGGGTGAGCTTCACTAAATCTTGTCCTTTCCTACAAACCTGACTTCTGAAGAATGAGCCGATCAAGGAGAACAAGTGACAAATTGTGCTCAGCTGGCTAATGGATGAGTATTAATCAAGTGAGAGTGGAAATTACTGTGAATCAGGGAAAGATTAACTTTTCATAATTATACAAATAATGACCATAATTCTGTTTTTCTTCCGAAAATAGCAGTATTATTTTTGTAACAATGACAGATTTATTGCAAAAAATTCAAAAAACAAAGAAAAATACAAAAATACTCTCTGTAACCATGTAGCAATTATGGAATTTTAGCATCTTTACTTAATTCTGTAATTGGAAGTATGTATTAAGATACCTTTGTAAAGTATTTTCACTGTGTGATAGTGCATTGCTCTCTTTGCCAGTGTGCACACCATGGTTCAATAGTGTAGTATTTGGTTAGCAGTATTAATTAGGAATTTATTGATCAGGTTTCTGTTTCTCTGCCTCTTTGAATTCTTGGCAGTACTATTTGACCATGCCTTTTACAAAATCTCTATAATGGCATTTTCTCGCTATCTCCATATTTTGAAACACTGGTGAATTCTGAGCATTCACATGCCACCGTTTTCATGAAGCCTTCATTGAGGTTGTCCTTCTAATTTCTCACAGTACTTTTAAAGTATTTCTCCAAGGTACTTAACCCAGTCTGCCATAGATTATAGATATTTGTGTAAAGGAGTGTCACTCTCTTTCAGGTAATTGTAGCAGGTGGAAGGGACTGCATCTTACTCGTTTGTAACTTTCAGAGTGCCCGACACGATGTCATTGACATAGTAAATACCTAAGAGAGAGTTCATTGATAAAATTTAGTTGCAGACAGCATAGAGTTTGAAGTAGTTAAAAGTAGAACTATGGATTTTACTAACAAACACTTGTCCAGGTTTTATATTTTTAAAGATATATATTAATATGTATTTAAGGTGTATAGATATATGAAATATATATTTCATAAGGTAATTGAGTTATTCAATCATTGATAACCTAAAATTTGTTATTGTCTGTGCCACAGGCTACTTGTCCTGCTGCCGTTTTTTAGATGACAGCCAAATTGTTACAAGTTCAGGAGATACAACTTGGTAAGTTTATTCCAGAAGAACACTGATTTCAGGGTTGAGGGTGGTGGTAGGAACTAATGTAAGAAGAGATTAATAGTCATTAATGATTTTTATTTATTTTTAATTATAGTGCTTTGTGGGACATCGAAACTGCCCAGCAGACCACCATGTTCACTGGGCATTCTGGAGATGTCATGAGTCTTTCTCTGAGTCCCGACATGAGGACTTTTGTCTCTGGTGCTTGTGATGCCTCTTCCAAGTTATGGGACATTCGAGATGGAATGTGTAGACAGTCTTTCACTGGACACGTATCGGATATTAATGCTGTCAGTGTAAGTGAATAGCATTTCTAAGGAAAATTTATTATGCATGTAAAGTGTTGAACTCTATAGCATGATTTTAACAACAAATTACCTTCAAGGATTCTTGTAAGTAATGTGCTCTTATAACGTCGAATCCCTAAATAATAAGAGTTTGATTAAAAAAAATGGAAAAGTTTTAATCCATTGGCCTAGGTCTTTATTCCCGGGTGAATGATAAATTTTGTGTCTAACCTTAGACAGATAGATCATCTTGAGCAAACAGACAGGTCATGGATGTCCACACAGTGGTTCAGAGGAGAGCAGAGTCTCATATCTCTGGGGTCACGGGGAACAACCCAAAGAGAGAACAATTAGGAAGACAAAGGCAGCTGTTTAGAGAGTGTAGCTTTTGAAGTCAGCCAGACCTGGGATCAAATCTTAGTTCTGCTGGGAACCAGCTGTGTGAGACCGCGTGGGCTGCTTAACTTCTATGAACCTCAGAGTCCTGGGTTTTTAAAATAGGAATAATACTGGGCCGGCCCCGTGGCTTAGTGGTTAAGTGCGTGTGCTCCGCTACTGGCAGCCTGGGGTTCGGATCCCGGGCGTGCACCGATGCACTGCTTCTCTGGCCATGCTGAGGGCGCGTCCCACATACAGCAACTAGAAGGATGTACAACTATGACATACAACTATCTACTGGGGCTTTGGGGAAAAAAAAAAAAAAGGAGGATTGACAATAGATGTTAGCTCAGAGCTGGTCTTCCTCAGCAAAAAGAGGAGGATTAGCACGGATGTTAACTCAGGGCTAATCTTCCTCACAAAAAAAAAAAAAATGGGAATAATACTACCTACATCAAACAATGGTGTGGAGACTAAATGAAACTATATATTGGATGCTCAGTAAATGGTATAAATTATTTATAAGCTACTTCATATTTTTTAAAAACCCCAAACAGGTAACCACAGATAGAGTAAGCCAGGTAATAAGTACTCAGTATATAGGAGGATGAACCCGTCATATGTGTTTATAAATTAGGGTAAAGCTAAAGTGGTATTTTGAATGACAATCAAAATGATGATTATCAAGTGGTCTGAATTGAGGGGAGGGATATTCAGAGGAGGTGGGATACTGCTTGACTTAGGTAAAGTGTCCCATGTAGATCAGATGCCAGAGTGTAGAGATATGACTAAAATTTCCAAAAGTACAGTAATTGCTAATGATTATGTGTATAAAATATACTCTAATTTTGTAAGAAGATATTTTTGGGAAAAAATTGGTTTTTATTTATCATGCACATGTTGAAAGTCATTTTTATGTGATTTTGCAGAGAATATCAGAGTAAATGCTTCATAGCCCCACATCTTATTGGGCCAACCTGGTTAGAATATTAGAATTTTAGAGCAGGCAAACCCTGTCCTCTCTATCTCTCATCCCACCCACCACCTTTATCAGGTTGACGATATCCTCTTCTATTCCTAATTTGCTAAGATTTTATCAGGAATGAGTGTCGAAGTTTACCAAATACTTTCTCTTCATCTATTGAGACGATCCTGTGGTTTTTCTTTTTCAGTCTGATAAATGGTGAATTTACATTGATTGATTTTCAAATATTAACCCAACCCTGTATTTCTGGGACAAACCTCACTTGGTCATAATGCATAATCCTTTTTATATAGTAGTGGATTTAATTTGCTGAAATTTTGTTAAGTTTTACATCCATGTTCGTAAAAGTTATTGTTCTCTTTTTCACTTTTTGAATTTTTGTGTGGGGCGGGGGAGGGTTTTGCTATCAGATTAATGCTGGTCTCATGGGAGGAGTTGGGAAACCTTCCCTCCTCTTCACTTTTCTGGAACAGTTTGTGTAGAGTTGGTATTTCCTTAAATCTTTGGTTGAATTTACCTGTGGAAGCTCTCTGAGTTTTCTTTGGAGAAGAGATTTAACTAAAAACTTAATGTCTTATTAGATAGAGACCTATTTGGGTTATCCATTTCTTCTTGAGTGAGCTTTGGGTAGGGTGTGTCTTTCAAGGAATTTATCTATTCATCTATGTTCTCAAATTTATTGGCTTAAAGTTGTTCATAATATTCCCTTATTATTATTCTTTTGAAATCTGTAGGATATCTGATTCATGATATTGGTAATTTGTCTCTTAGTTTTTTCCTGATTAATCTGTTCTTGTGGGTTGAATTGTGTATCTCCAAAATTTATATGTTCAAGTCCTAACCCCAGTATGTCAGAATGTGACCTCAACTGAAAATAGGGTTGTTGCAGATGTGGTTAGTTGAGTCATACTGGATTGGGAGCACTTAATCCAATGTGACCAGTGTCCTTAGAAAAAGGGGAAATTTAGAGACAAACAAGCATAGAGGGAAAACAGTGTGAAGAGACACAGGGAGAAGACATCTGTCTACAAGCCAAGGAGAAAGGCCTAGCAGATCCTTCCCTCCCAGCCCTCACACACCTTGGCCTCAGACTTCTAGCCTCCGGAATTGTGAGACAATAAATTTTTGTTGTTTGAGTCACCCAATTTGTGGTACTTTGTCATGGCAGCCCTAGCAAACATAAATTTGGCTAGAGGTTAATCACTTTTACTTATCTTCTCAAAGAACCATCTTTTGGTTTCAATGATTTTCTCTATTTTTTTTGTTTTCTGTTCCATTGATTTTCACTCTGATCTTTACTGTTTCTTCTCTGCTGTTACTTGGGTTTCATTTGCTTTCCTTTTTCTAGTTTCTTAAGGTAGAAGCTGACACCACTGATTTGAAACTTTTTTCTTTTCTAATATTGGAACTTAAAGTTATAAATTTCTTCCTAAGTGTTGCTTTTTACTATATTCCACAAATTTTGTTGTATTGTGTTTTCATTTTCATTTAGTTCAAAATTCTTTGTAATTTTACTTTTGATCTCTTTGACTCATGAGTTACTTAGAAGTATGTTATTTGGAGATTTTCTAGATATCTTTATTTATTTATTTATTTATTTATTTTTATTTATTTTTTTCCCCCAAAGCCCCAGTAGATAGTTGTATGTCATAGGTGCACATCCTTCTAGTTGCTGTATGTGGGACGCGGCTCCAGCATGGCCGGAGAAGCAGTGCGTCGGGGCGCGCCCGGGATCCGAACCCGGACGGCCAGCAGCACAGTGCGCGCACTTAACCACCAAGCCACGGGGCCGGCCCCAGATATCTTTATTTTTGTTAAATTTTAATTTAATTTCATTATGGTCAGAGAATATACTTTGTATGATTTATATGATTTGAATCCTTCTAAATTTCTTGAGACTTGTTTTATGGTCCAGAATGGTCTGTCTTGGTCGGTGTTCCAGATGCATTTGAAAAGAATCTGTATTCTGCTGTTGTTGGCTAGAGAGTTGTATAGATGTCAGTCAGGTCAAGTTGGTCGATCATGTTCAGGTCTTCTGTATCCTTACTGATTTTGTCTGTTCTTTCTATTCATTGTTGAGAGAGGTGTGTTGGAATCTCTAATGGTGTATTTATTCGTTTTTTTCTTGCCATCTATTAGTTTTTGCTTCATGAATTTCAAAGCATAAATCTTTAGTATTGTTATGTCCTCTTGATGAATTGATTCCTTTATCATTATGAGATTTATTTTTTTATCGCTTTTTCCCTGGTGTAATATTATTTGCTCTCAAATCTTTGTCTGATATTAATAGAACTACTCCTTTCTTTTGATTAATGTTAAGTGTGGGCAAATCTTGTTCCTTCCTTTTCTTTTAACTTATTTGTGTCATTATATTCAAAGTCACTTTCTTATGGGCAGCAGTTGGGTCTTGCTTTTTTATAGTCTGATGATTTCTGCCTTTTATTGTTTAGACCAATTGCATTTTATGTGATTATTGTGTTAACATGATTAGATTTAAATCTACCATCTTGCTCTTTGTTTTTTATTTTTCCCATCTATGCTTTGCTCTCTTTTCCTGTTTTTCTGTCTTCTTTTGAGTTAATTTTCTTTTAATTATGAATCCCTTTTATTTCGTTTCTTGGCTTATTAGCAATAACCTTTTTTTTCAGTGGTTGCTGTAGGGTTTGTAGTATACATCCTTAGTTTATGGCAATCTACTTTCAAGTGATATTACACTACTTTACCTATAGATAAGAACCTTGCAACTGTTTACTCCCATTTCTCCCCTCTCAGCCTTTGCGCCACTGTTGTCATACATTTTACTTATTTCTTTTTTTTTGCTGAGGAAGATTAGCCCTGAGCTAACATCTGTGCCGGTCTTCCTCTATTTTATCTGTGGGCTGCCACCATAGCATGGCTGATGAGTAGTGTAGGTCCACGCCTGGGATCTGAACCCACGAACCCCAGCTGCCAAAGCGGAGCATGCCAAACAACCACCAGGGCACCAGGCCGGTGATTTTTATATGTTTTAAACCCCACGATACATTGATATTATTTTTGCTTTCAATAGCTGATTATCTGTTAGAGAGATTTAAATAATAAAAAAAAAAAACCTTTATTTATGTAGTTAACCATTTTCTCTGTTCCTCACTCTTTTGTGTATAGATTCCGATTTCCATCTATTTTCCTTCTGCTGGAAGGGCTTCCTTTAACGTTTCCTATAGTGCAGTTCTGTTAAAGATAAAGTCCTTCAGCTTTTGTATGTCTAAAAAAATTTTTATTTTGCCTTCATTTTTGAAAGATATTTTTGCTAGTTATTTTTCTTTTGATACTTTCAAGATCTTACACTGCTGTCTTCTGGTTCATGTTGTTACTGATGAGGAATGTGCTGTCATCCTTATGTTTGGTCTCTCTCCACAATTTGTCCTTCGTTTTCTTCTGGCTGCTTTTAATGTTTTCTCTTTGTCACTGTTTTTAAGCAACTTGATTATGATGTGTCTTTGTATAGTTTTCTTCATATTTCTTGTGTTTGGATCTGTGGGTTTTAGTTTTCATCATTTGGAAATTTTTCAGCCATTATCATTCAAATATTTTTTTTGTTTCCTCTTCTCTCCTTTGGAGACTCTAAATACACATATGTTAAGCCACTTGAAGTTTTTCCATAGCT